TCCTGGTCCCACTGCCAGTGGCCCCTCAATCTGCCCCAGCTATGCAACTGTCAACCACATTCAGAAGGACTATGTTTGTTTCTTCCCAGTCTGGCTGATATTGGTGAGCTCCCATTAGCTCAGGTAGACCGTTTCAGTAGGTGTACCTATCATGGTCATGACCTCTTTGCTCATATTCTCATTCCTCCCACTTTTCAACTGGACTTTGAGACACATGGGGCTGGGATGGAGGACTTTGAGAGCTCAGTCCAGTGCTCTAAAGCGGGTCTTGGCCTCTGTTTCTATCAGTTGCTGGATGATGGTTCTATGGTGATATTTAAGATATTCATCAGTGCCGGGCAGTGGTGGCACATGCTTTTAATCCCACAACTTGGGAGGCAGAAGCAGACAGATCTCTGTGAGTTTGAGGCCAGCCTGGTCTACAAGAGCTAGTTCCAAGACAGGCTCCAAAAGCCCTGTCTTGAAAAGCAAAACAAAAAATAAACAACAACAACAAAGATATTCATCAGTCTGACTACAAGGCAAGGCCAGGTGCTTGCTTCGGCAGCACATATACTAGGGTCTGGAGAGAAGGCTCAGTGGCTACGAGCACTGGTTGCTCTTCCAGAGGTCCTGGGTTCGATTCCCAGTAACCACATGGTAGCTCATAACCATCTGTAATGGGATCTGGCGCCCTCTTCTGGCCTTGGGACCAGACTCAGTCTGAAAGTTGAAGATCAGCTTGCCTCTGGATGGGGGTGGAGGGGTGGGCGTGGCCTGTCTCTTAAAGGGACAGAGCAGAAATTACAATTACCACTAATAATAATAACCCTATGACAGGGTCTATACCAGGTTGATTTGAGGATTTCCTTTGCCAATAGAACTAATCCAGAACTCTTTACTTTAGCCGTAGGCAGACTCTTCTGACAAGGACAAAAGGCAATCATTTTCTTCACCAAAATAGCACAGGAATGACCTCTAGGCTACATATTAGTCTTCTCCTCTGAAATGCCTTGAGCCAGTCTCCTACAGTTCAAGTCATTCTGAGCACCTTTGTCTGTGATGTTCGTGCTCTTATGGCCCATTATGCGGTACTTAGAGCATTTCCTAAACCCAAAGCACTAAAGTTCAAATTCTTCCAAAAACACACAGAAATACCCCAGTCCCTGGTAAAAACTTTTGCCTTTGTTAGGGTTTCTATTGCTATGAAGAGACCTCATAACCCTGGCAACTCTTATAAAAGAAAACATTTAATTGAGGTGATGGCTTACAGTTCAGAGGTTCGGTCCATTACCATCATGGCAGGGATGATGGTAACTTGTAGGCAGATTTGGTGCTGGCTACACCTTGATCATGAGGCAACAGGAAATGGACTGGGAGTGGACTGGACGTTTATGAGAGTTCAAAGCCCACCCTCACAGTAACATATTTTCTCCAACAAGGCCATGTCTATCCCAACAAAGCCATACCTTCTAATAATCCCACTCCCTATGAGTTTATGGGGGCCAATTGCGTTCAAACTACCACAATCACCCACTGATCTACCCATTGGAGACGTGTGGTCTCACTTGTGGGCACGTACGTGAAAACAAGGATTGCTTCTACCCAGAACCCACCAGCATCCAAACGAAGGAGAGTGGTCCTAGCATTCATAGCCCCTTTCCTGATCTTCTGGCTCTTATGCACTTTCTGCCCACTCTTCCTCAATGTTCTCTGACAGCAGAGGTGTTGACAGAGGTTTCTGTCCTGCCCAGTCCTGCAGCCATTCCGTCCCAAAGAAATACACAGAGGTCTACATTAATCATAAACTGGTTGGCCTATTAGCTCAGGCTCTTGTTAACTCTTATATCCTGCATTAACCCATAATTGTTGTCTGTGTTAGCCACATGGCTTGGCACCTTTTATCAGCAAGGCATTCTCATCTTGCTTCCTCTGTTTCTGTGTTGCGACTGCAGCCTCAGCTTTTCCTCTTCCCAGAATTCTCCTGTTCTCGTCACCCCGCCTCTACTTCCTGCCTGGCTACTGCCAATCAGCATTTTATTAAAGCAATACAGTGTAAGTAAGAGGGTGTAAGACCATTGTCCCACAGCACAAAGGTGTTGCTATAGGTGTCCTGTCCAGGGCTGACCACTGAACTATCGTGTATTCTCAGTACCTTGGACAGTCATGAGTCTCCGTATTTATCACAGTCCATTATGAAGGGAAGCTGGCTGGAGACTAGGTGTAACATTTGTCTATGGGTATAAATATGACTACTAGAACGCAGTTTGGCATCACGTCTCTTTAACTAAATGGCTGTGGTAAGTTCCCTCCTAAGGCCTAAGACCAACACACAGAGGCATACACACAGCCCCTTAGATCTAGATTGTTTATATGAGGAAAACACACAGCATTTGTCTTTCTGAGCCTGGCTTATTTCAGTTAGCGCGTTGGTCTCTAGCTCTATTCATTTTCCAACAAATGTTACAACTTCATTCTTCGTTATGGCTGGGAAAAAAAGTTCTATTGTGCATATGCACTAATGTTGTTATTTTTCAGTGAGGGCTCTACATGGGGACAGGTCTTCACGGTGAGCCCAAAGGCTTATACTAGTGTCTCATCAATGCTGGAAAGCTATCACCATCCTGATGGATCTTGATTAACCAACATAAATGGATTATTTTACATGCCCAACAGATCTCACTGGATCAGTTTCTCGCAGGGGCCCATGGGTGTAGCCCTGTGGAGCCCCCTGCTGGCCAGCCTAATTGTAAGGTAGCTACCCATCTTGCTCTAGATGCCCCTGCCTCCTTGGGATCACAAGCAGCAGCTGGCTCTGAGCTATGCTGATTTGGCACTTCCCAGCTGGGATTAGTGACAGGGGTGAAGAATTGGTGAGCATTCCTCCCCTTCCCCAGAGATGGCGAAGTCTCCTAGGCCTGCTTCAAGTCATCACTGTCTGCAACTCCAGTTCCAGGGGATCTGACACCTTCGCACCAATGCACATAAAATAAAGTTAGTAAAATAGATACATAAGTAAACTTAAGGAATTGAAATGCCATCTGTGGAGGTGCCTTCCGACCTTAGATGTCTATACTCTATACTGGGATATACACTTCATATATGAACGTTTTTAGACGTCTATACTCTATACTGGGATATACACTTCATATATGAACGTTTTTAGACGTCTATACTCTATACTGGGATATACACTTCATATGTGAACATTTTTAGGACCTATGTTTATTTGCATGTGACTGTGTGTGTGCTACAGCGGGCACATGAAACTCAGGATAGCTTGTGGGAGATGGCTCTTTTTCTGCCATTGTGTGGGTCCCAGGATCAAGCTCAGTCACCCAGCTTGGTGGGAACTGCCTTTACTGGTGGCGGAGCTGTCTTGCTACCTCTCCCCTGTACGTTTCACTTGCACGTCTGTCTATCCTCTTTCCCCATTCCGACAGATACTGAGCACACTTTTTGCTTGCTTGCTTGCTTGCTTGCTTCCTTCCTTCCTTTTCTTTTTCTTTTTTTGGGCAAGAGTTGTGGTGGTAATCTGGCAGCTGAGATAGCACGCCGTCCTTCCTGGATGTCTGACATTTTTTATGAAGTTTCACAAGGTTACATTCCTCTAAGCGAAACCTAGAAGGATTAAAAAAGAAACAACTGCCCCTTAATACTTTGGCTCCTGAAGTAGGGCACTTAGGGCTGATCTTGATTTAAGATTGATATTCTGTTGTTTTATCAGCCCGAGGGGGACAGACGGACATATCCTTGGAAAATGTAAGATATCTCTTCTGGGCAGCATCCAGAAGCTGCTGCGACCTCAAGATTTTAGTCCTCTGCTGCCGCCTTGTGGACAAGTGAGGAACAGCGCTTCAAGATTTCATAGGGCTAGGTAAGAATTGGTGGAGGGTTAATGAGTGGGTAAGTGAGACTGTGGTGCCCAGAAGAGAGGGGTCAAACTGTTAATGATGTAAAAACACTCTCGTCTTTTTCAGATCTTTATTTTTACTCCAGACACATGATTTTCAGTGAGAATATGACCACCTAAAGACTCACAGCCATTCACCGGCGTCCCTCCTTTGACCTTGAGCAGCTCCCCTGGGGTGTCACGTCAGCCCTCCCACACCTCCTGGTCCTGGAGTTGCACGCCTGTAGGTTTCTCCCTCGGGCTTTGTGGCTTCCACACCACCCCATCCCCGACTCTTTCTCCACTGTTTTCTGCAACCTGTACACCTTCCTTTACATCCCTGCTGCAGCATGCTGACACCCCCGGGACCCCACACTGCTCAGGTACTGCACAGCAGTGGTCCCTTTGTTTGGAATGGGAGAGAGGGGAAACACTTGCACACAATGAGAGAAAAGGGGTTCTGAGTCACTGGGCCCACCCTGTTGGAATCTGGTGCTGTCCTAATCGTAGAACCAGCTTCTACCTACAGCCCAGCTGTTTCCTTCCCGGGTTAGCAGCCCCCACCTACCACACTGCCCAATCTGGCTCTCCATCCCCTTCCACAATGAGGACAGTGGCCTGGGGGCCCTTCCCTCTCCTGCCACTGGGGGAGGATGGGTTGTCTGGCCTTTCTACCTCCTGCCACCTGGCTCTCCTCTTCCCAGCTGGGAGCCAGGAAACCACCCAGGAACCTGGCCCGATTTCCGTTCCCTCATGCCTCCAGACCCTGCCGCAGCCTCCGGTCCAGGGCTAGGAGCTGCCTCAAGAATCCCCGGTTGGGGATGATGCCGCGGTGGTCCTTGACTTTCTTGATGGCCTCCACAAGGGTGAAGTGGTGGTACAGCATGAGGTAGGCCAGCACCAGGGTGGCCGATCTGCTCACTCCCACAGCACAGTGTACCAGGATCTTCCCTGTGAAAAGGCAGGCAAAGAGACATCTGAGAGACTGCTGAGTGATGGCCTGGAGGAGGCTTGGGGGAGAGGTCAGCATAAGAGGGTAAACCAAGGCACGCAGAGGTGGCGATGGATGAGGATGAGCGGGGTGTACAATGTAGATCCTGGGCTGGTGAGATGCCTCAGCAGGGAAGGACATTTTACATACAAGCCTGATGATTTGAATTCTGGCCCCAGAACCCGTGTAAAGATCATAAAGACCTGACTCCACAGCGTTGTTCCCTGACTGTCATAGATCCACCAGGGCACATGATGAGTGCACACCACACACACGCACACACTCACTCACACACACTCAGTAGCAGAGTGTGTGCTTAGCATGAGCAAGGCCCGGAGTTCGATCCCCAGCACTTCCAAACAAATAATGAAGGTCCCTGGCAAAGGGGAGAGACCAGGGCAGACCAGGATGGAGAAGGAATTCTGAAGTTTAGTGTTCATGAACCTGAGCAGAGCTCAGCGGTTCTGTCTCATTCTTTTTTTTTTTTTAAATATTTATTTATTTATTATGTATACAATATTCTTTCTGCGTGTATGCCTGAAGGCCAGAAGAGGGNCTTTGCTGCTTTTTAGGATAATTAAGTCAGAAATAAAATATTTTTGTGATTCTAAGTTTTTTTTTAAATATTTATTTATTTGTTTTTATTATGTATACAGTATTCTTCCTGCAGGCCTCTCATTACAGATGGTTGTGAGCCACCATGTGGTTGCTGGGAATTGAACTCAGGACCTTCGGAAGAGCAGGCAATGCTCTTAACCGCTGAGCCATCTCTCCAGCCCCTCTGTCTCATTCTTGATGTAAACCGGAGCTCTGAACAGAGCAGGGACTCCGCTGACATTGGATGCATCAAGAGGAATCCATCCATGTTGAATCTAGCCTTAGGTCTTCCCCAGCCCTCCTTCTGTGTACATGTGTAAGGTAGATATGTGTATGTGTGTACACAGATGTGAGTGTGCTTGTGGGGGCCAGAAGTCAATGTTGGGTGTCTTCCTGAGCTGTTCTCATCTTATTATTATTATTTTTTGACCTGTGCTCTCTTGCTGAACCTGGAGTTTGCAGAGTAGGCTAGACAGGCTGGCCAGCAAGCCTGAAGAGCCTTGTAAGATTTTCCTCACCAGTGCTGGGAGACAGTGCCCCTGTATGGCAAGTTCTTTCCCACCGGAGTCATGCCCTCAGTTCCTCCTTAATGCTTCTTTTGGTGCTCGAATATTTGGTATTTGAGGCTGGGTCTTGGTATGTTGCCCAAACAAAGCTTGAGCTTGAGTTCAGATAAGGCCTCAGCCTCTGGAGTAATTGGATCTATGAGCACACTGCATCACACCCTTCTACACCCTTCTATCTTGCTTTTTCTCCACTGACTATATTTTCGCTCTCTCTATATATATGGTTGCCTCTTGCTATTCAGAAAAACCTTCCCATCACCAACCCCCATGGATGCTCAGTTCCCGCATATAAAATGATACAGCAATGGCATACACCCCGCCCTCTTGTATACTTTTGATGATTCCTGGATTTTTATGTCCACTAATGTAATGTAAATTCTCTTCAGATAGTTGTTATGCTATATTGTCCATGGACTAATAAAAAGAAGTCTAAACACATTCTGTATGTACATCCACCCCAAATATTTTCAGTCTATGGCTGGTTGAATCCAATGATGCAGAACTTGGCAATACAGAGGGCCAACGCGCTCCCCCCCCCCCCCATAGCTAAAGCATTTTAAAACCAGTTTTAGCCAGGTGGTGGTGGCACATACCTTTAATCCCAGCACTCGGGAGGCAGAGGCAGGCGGAACTCTGTGAGTTTGAGGCCAGCCTTGCCTACAGGAGCTAGTTCCAGGACAGGCTCTAAACAAAAGTGTAAAAGCTACACCATTCATAACCTCAGCATCCAGGAGTAGCTTTGCACCTTAAATGAGGCCCTCGTCCCTTTTGAAAACAGCCTTGAAAAAGATGACTGAGAGAACATTTTTCTTTCCTCAGCTCCGGTTCCTAAGCAGTTTGTCTCATGGCCAAGTTTTTGTTCCATCCGTGAACCCTGGGGCTTCTGAACACCGTACCTATTGCTCCCCCTTCCCCTTCTGCATTCTCTCCTACCTCCTGGCTGGCTCAGTGCCCGATGGATGAAGTCCGCAGCTGTCTGAAAGTGGATGCTCATGTCAAAGGCTGGCGAGTCATGGGCCTCGACACCCAGGTAGCGGATGCCCAGTCCCTCATAGGCCTCCGGGGTGCCTCTCCACCTGCTGTGTGAAGCATTGAGGACATGGGTGATGCCCAGGCGACGGAGCTCACGGCGGTTGTTGGCCATGTCCCTGTGTTAAACAGACGTTAGAAGGGAGATGGGGAAACCAAGATGCCAGAAAGCTTCAGCCTAGATGCTGCTGTTGTTGGCTACAAACCTTCACGGTACTCACTAATGCCCTAGATCAGAGGAAGGTGGCAGACTTGGGGTCATGTCCTGTGAGCAGTGTTTGAGAGGTCTGGGAATGATTGGGCTAGGGAAGAGTCTGAGGGGGGTGGGGTCAAGACGATTGTAATCAAATACCGGGACCGCTCTGAGGAAGTGGAATTTTCCTTATCTTTAGGCTCTAAAGGATGGACCCAGGGTCAAAGGATTCAAGATCCAGGAAACCAGTGCCGAGGTTTCACGTGAGGACAGGGCATCGTATTAAGAGAGAACTCTAGCGGAGCCAGGTTAGAGCACTTTAAGAAAGTAATTTTCCTGCCACCAGGGTGTCCAGGCAGAGAGAAGTCCTTGGTGGACAGAGCCTGGAAACTGGAGGGATGTGTGTATCAGGGGAGTTGTGGGGCCAGCTCCTATTCCAGGTCTTAGCTAGGGCTTTGTGGGTAATTTCACAGCAGCGTGTGTACCCAGTTTGTGCACTACTCTAGATTTGGCTCCCAGAACCAATAAACAAATGCAGGGGCTGGGGCTGGAGAGATGGCTCGGCGGTTAAGAGCACTGGCTGTTCTCCTAGAGGTCCCGAGTTCAATTCCCAGCTCCCACATGGAGGCTCACAACTGTCTCTAATTGGAGTTCCATTAAATCCAGCGCCTTCTTCTGGGGTGCAGACAGACATACATTTCATCTGCGTAGATGAAACACCCATATGCATAAAACACACAAATAAATAAATGCATGAATGAATAAATAAACCACTGATAAACTCTAGATTATATGGGTCTGCTTTATATTCTCCCGGACACCTAGAAACCTCTTCTGTTTGCTAGTTACTCAAGGGCTCTTGTGTGCTCTGATCTATAGCCATCCTCAGACACCATCTGGCCCATACCATAGCAGCTTAGTGATGGAAACCCCTCAGACAAGTTGGTCAGATACTAGCCTAGCCAAGCAATCTCAAAAGGCCACCGAACCCAACCCACAAACTCTTGGCACTCCCGTTTCTAGCCTGGATGATCTTGGTGCAGTCACAACTTCTCAGAGCTCCCTTTTCCTCCTCTGTAACTCAGGGAGAGGGACCCCCCCCCCAGCTCACAAAGCTACCGGGAGGATTAATAAAGTGCCATTAAAAAGAAAAAGCTCACGTATTAGGGAGTGCGCCCCCTTCAATGGCTCCCTCTTCATGACCCTGGACTGTGGTGGCTTCGCCGGGTCTCCTCTTCAGTTTACTGTCTACCGTTTCGGTCTTAGTGACTACCTTTTCTCAGAGCCACGCCCCAATAGCTGGAAGTCAGAACAACCTGTCTGGTCTATACTGTTGGCATTTCATATGAGTTCTTTTCTACATGAGTACCACAATTTCCTCAACAGAGTTTCTCTGTCCAGAGTGGAGTATTTTAATAAATCTGGCCCCCAAATCCCTCAAGCCCTTCAGCTTCTTCTCTTTGTTTATATGCCTACTCCCTTCACTCTTCAACCTGGAACTGGCAAGGTGAGTCCGTGTCTGCCTACCACCTTTCTCCTTGTACACACACACACACACACACACACACACACACACACACACGCATATGCACACACTCAGGCCTGGTCCCCCTGCCACCTTTCTCCTTGTACACATACACACACACACATGCACACACACACACACGCACACATGCACACACTCAGGCCTGGTCCCTCCTGCCGCCTATTACATACTGGTCTCCGAGGTAGAGGCCTGGCCAGACCTCGTCGGCATGGTTACAGGCCGTCTTGCCTGTGTAGAGGAGCCTCTCCAACTCAAAGACGTTGAGGAAGGGATGGTGAGCGGAGGACATCTCCTCCAGGCTCCCTCGAGTGCGAACAGGGGACCTTGAGCTGCTGCGGGAGAAGCGGGCCATAAACGTCATGGAGGCCCAGAGCCAGTTGCCGGGACACATCTTCAAGGTGGCAGGAGCTGTGGCTTGAGGGATGATGGGCTCGGTCACCAGGAAGCTGATGCTGCAAGCAAAGGAGGGTCGGGTAGACTTGAGTGAGTCCAGAGAAGCTATTTCCTTTCCTTCCCACGGGGCTGGGTCTGGAGGAGTAGGCCCTTCAGCAGCAGAAGGCAAGGCTAGCCTAAGCGCTTAAATACCTCCTTTCTCTAGCTGCTGTGGGTCCCTCCACTAAGCTCTGGCTCTGTCACCAAAGGAGGTGGGAGTCACATGTCCTTGTTTACGGGAAGGAGTTGCCCAGCTGCTGTTTCTCCTCCATCTCCCCACCCCCACAGCCAATAAACCCAGAAACACACACACATACGTTGGACACTTTGGTGCTTCTACACACTGCCGGGACACTTGCCAGCCCAAATCTGGGTCTCATCTGGCTGGGATTATAGGCAGAGCATCTAGGGAACTGGGGATAGGGATGGAAGCAGCGGCGGTAGAGCCAGCCAGAGAGAATTATCAGGAAGATAACAGCAGCTGGGACCATGACATATGCCAGACATGTCTCCTGTGTGCTGGAGGGATGAAGTACCTTAACCCATCCCTGCCCTGCTTGTGGCCAAGCTTGTCACGGGGAAGGCTATCAGGAGGGCGAGAGTAGGGGATGATACAAAGAGGAAAAGGGACTTTTGGAAAATCCTTGCTGACTGAGAGCCGCTGGAAGAAGGCTTCGGGCTGTGCATACAAGCCTGTGAGTGGGAGGAGCAGAGCCCCTCCTTTGGCTAAACCTCATCTCTAAGGAGAGAAGTCTGAGTCAAAGCAGGGTTGGAGCTTCTTTGTGTCTGTGTCTGGTGGGGGTGGGGTAGAAGTGGGAGAAGCAAGCAGGAGATGATGGGGCGGGGGAGATAAGACATCCCGCAGGCTCAGGGGTAGCTGGAAGGCTCAGTTGACGGTGGTGTCAACTGGTCCTGGACACTACACGGAGCAGTGTCAGCCATGAGGGGCCTAGCAGGTGTGTCTCAGAGAACCTGTAGAGAGAGGGCCCTCGGGAAAGTGGGCTTCTGCCTGAGCCTCCCCCCCCCCCAAAGAGCTTGTCTTTGAGGCTTGCCCTAGGACATTTGGCCAGCCCGACATCTAGAGGAGACCCCAGTCTCCAATTCCAGGTGTGGTCTTGCCTTTTTGCAAGGGTGGGCTAACCTGCTGAATTCCCTCCCGTTCCCTTTGCTGCCATCTGCCTTAGGGACCTCAACTGAATGTCCAGCAGTAAGAAGCCATCTTGGCCCATGGGCATATAGTGATTTCCATCCCACACTCCCAGCCAGGCCTCTCTCTCTCTCTCTTCTCCCAGGGTCAGGAGCCACCACTCTCCCAGGAAACACCACAAACTAGGACTGGGGGATTGCTCCTCGTAAGGGATGAGTGCATATTCAGGAGTTCAGGAACAGGTAGGTTTTCAGAGGTTAAGTTAGAAGAAAATCTAGCACTAGAGTAGACACATCCACCACCACCACCGCCATCCCCGCCACCCCCCCTCCACCTACCTCTCCTCCTGGGCCTCAAAGACACCCCCCTCCCCTTCCCCACCACCATCAACAAACAACAACAACCACCTTCCTCAGAATAGATTCCTTAGTGATGATGAAAGCTGAGGAGCTGGGAGGAGAGCCGAAGCAGAGAGCAACATTCCTCGGGCCTGGGTCTATTCCTCCTGGTGTGGAGGGGGCAGGCTCAGTCCAGAATACAACCCTGGGCCTTCTCCAATCCCAATAACCCGCCGCCAGAGGCTCCGGCCCCTGCCCCCCTCCCTACATCGGCTGTCGCGGTAGTAACAGGTTCCTGGCTGTCGCCTTAGCCCTGTGACAATCCAGACAGGCACTGAGGAGAAACGAGACGCGTGGCAATGCCCCTATGTCCCTGTTCCTCTCCGACCCCCGTCCCCTCGCCCACACGTCCCTACCTCCTGGTCGCTAGGGTCTCAGATCCCGAGGTGGCCTGCGGGCTCCCGCAGTCCGGCGCCCATGACTCCTGCGCGGTTCCCCGCCGCTGCGCCGCCGCCCCGGCGCGCAGGTGGATCGCAGCTATTTTTAAGCCATGACACGCACATCGAAGCAGGTTCCTATCGGTGTGCGCCCTGGTGACACCCAGGGACACCGTCTCACGCAACGGTGGGAGCCGCCACACCGCAGCGACACAGCCCGCCCCCGTTTACAGCCCCGCGCAGCCCCACAGCCCCGCCTCGTCGGCACGCCAGGGCTGCTGCCCGGCAGGCCAATGGCAAAGCCTTGTGCAAGCCTTCTCAGGCAGGGTCTTCACGCTGCTCGCTCTTCCCAGACAGAATTAATGAGTCACAGACAGGGCCTGCTCTCCTCGTCTGTACACTCTCTCTAGAGAACAATCCTCAGCCACCCTTACTATTAATAGCGTTTGCCATATGCTAAGCGCTTCACCTGTCTTAGTGAGTTTTATACTCACCAGCAGGCATCTTCATCTGCATTTTGTGAAGGAAGAGACCGGAGTATAGAGAGGCTAAGCCCAGATCACCAGCTAGGTATTGGCAGAGCCGAGCTTCCGACGATGGTGGCGAGACTCTGAAGTCCATGTCATGACCTGTCCCAACCGTGCTTCTCCCATAAGGAGTATGCATCTTGGGGTTCATTCAGAAAGCCACTTCTACATGTTCAGTGCACGGTGCCCTTCCTTTTCCCTGAAGAAATTAATCTTCATTTTTTTTCTCACAAGCTTGTCTTTTAGTGGTGTTCACCAACACCTGCTTCTCTGTGGGTCAACACCAGGATCTTAAGCATTTTGAGTCAAGGTGGGTATTGCTTTTCCTAAATGTCTTCCTCACTGCTTGTCTTAGGGTTTCTTTTGCTGAGATGAAACACCATAACCAAAAAGCAAGTTGGGGGAGGAAAGGGTTTATTTGGCCTTATACTTCAACAGTATTGTTCATTGTTGAAAGAAGTCAGGACAAGTACTCAGACAGGGCAGGAACCTGGAGGCAGGAGAGGATGCAGAGGCTATGAATGGATGTTGCTTGCTGGCTTGCTCCCCATGGCTTGCTCGCCTGTTTTCTTACAGAGCCCAGGACTCCCACCAGGGATGGTCCCATCCATGAAGGGCTGAGCCCTCCCCCATCAATTACTAATTAAGAAAATGACTTACCGACTTGCCTCTGAGTTAAGTTTCTTCCCAGACCAAGAGTCTGGGGACAAATTTTGCTCCAAGTCACTTATGTGATAAAAACCCTTAAGGAGAATGCCTCTCTGTGTCTTGTTCCAACTCTGAAAATCTAGTTCTAGAAATTTTTTGACTTCTCATCCAGAAGGACAGAGTTCCTGTGTCGAAGAGACAAAGCCGCAGTTGAGACGGTGCATCCCTGAGGTCAAGGGACTGTTTCCGCCCGAGTGAGGCTCCTCAGAGCTCATTTCTGTTGCTTTCATGTATTTATGTCATGACTCAAATTTGGATGTTCATCCTCTTAAATGTAATAGTTTCAAGAAAGATAATTTAAAAAATAATGTGATACTCTGTGGATGGTTGACAGGAAAGTAATAAGACATACATGACAGCAAACATGCCTAGCACTCAATGGTCTACATTGTTCTAGAAGAAATCCAGAGTCCAAAACCCTTTCCTCAAGCCAAAGTTCAAAGAAAATGTATAAAACAAAATCTCTTATTTTTTTAAAAAAAATTTTTCTTGTGTGTATATCTATGTGAATATATGTGGAAGGCCAGAGGACAGCCTTGGGTGTTGTTCTGCAGGTTGACTTTGAGATGGGGCCTCTCGCTGACCTAGAACTTGCCAAGTAGGCTAGACTGGATTGTCAGTGAGCCCCAGGGGTCCTCTGGTCTCTGCCTCCCTTGCACACTCTGCCTACAATTACAAGTTCATGTCATCACATCCCGGCTCTTTCTATTCACAAGGCAATCGCTTCACCAAAGATCCACATTCTTGACTCCACACCTCTTTCAGACTTCCCCAAACCACAACCACAAACCACAGCCTTTCTTCTCCTATCATCGCCCGGCACCCTGTGTTCTTCAGCTTTCATCTGCTCCAATCTCTCCCTCAAATCTGCCCCGCCCCTCGCCGCATCGGCAGAAACCCTCAAAGATCAATTGCTCTTAAAATTAAACTGTTCCTTCAACACGGAAAAGTCTTTATACTTGATTTTTAGCTCTTATCTCACACTTAGTGGAAAGCTAGTGTGAAAAGCTTTAGAAAATCTACACAGGATAGAGAGAAATTTGCAGAGAGAGAGAGAGAGAGAGAGAGAGAGAGAGAGAGAGAGAGAGAGAGAGAGAGAAAACCTGCTTGAAATGGTGTTTTTAACATGGAAAATTACAGTCCGTCTTTCCAATGTCAGAGGCACTCATTTTACCGGGACTGGTATTAAAGATCTTGTCAAAGCCTGTCACACTTGGATACTCAGAAATATGAAATTCAAAGCTACAAAATTCTTTGAGACTTTGGCTTTTATGACCAATGGTATTGGTTTAAATAATAAGATAACTGCTTCTGTAACTTACTGACTTGGAGCATGAGTTAATAACTGGCTGGCGCACAGGCACCAGAATATACCACCTCCAAGTCTAGACTCTACACTTTCAGAAGAAGACAAAGTCAAATGTTTTATAGACTCCTGCGATATACCCAGTCTTTCCTCAACAAGCAAGAACACCCCTGACTTCAGCACCTTTTCTAAGCAACAATTGTACTACCTAAAACCTGGAAATAAGTTCTTTCAGAAGCAGCAGGATGGTAGCCCTGGAGTGGTGATGGACAAACCACTCTCATGGACAGCAAACTCATTGGCGCCACAGTGAAACCGTAAAGGCAGATGTGGTGATTAATGATTGTCAGCTTGGCAAGTGGCAAGGCCCTGGGCACAGCTGTGAGAGCTTACTTAGTTCAGTTTAGCCTCTGGGCATGTCTTGTGAAGAATTTTCTTGATGACATTAATTGAAATGGAAGACCCACCTTAAATGTGGACCCTTCCTCCTGCAACGCAGCTATTAGGATGTCCCAAGGGAAAAGTTTTTGCTTTTTGTTCTCTATCCTTTGAGTTCTGCTGGTGAGTTCACCCACCTTGTTCCCACTACCATAGCTAATTGCCATCACATGTTCCTGACATCAGAACTCAGACTGTGTGGCCTTCTAGTGTGAACTGAAGACCAGCGGCCTTCAATTTTTTAGACCTTCAGCACCCAGCATTTCTTGTAACCTGGACAAGAACAGGATACGTAGGCAACCCATTGACGCTTCCAGAAGAGTCTCGACTGCTCCCAGGGCCTGTTTTGGCCTCTTACTTTCTCTGCTATGAAAAAGAGATTACTAAATGACTTAACCGAGTACAGGAAAAAGTGAGCCTTGACCCTTCTGAAAATCTCCATCTCACTCACTTGAGGAGAAGGATGGCTTGTTCTCGCTCCTCTCCAAATGCTTTCTAAGAGTCCTGAAAGGTAAAGAAACCTTAGGAGGCAGCAGCCTACTTAGCTCATGCCCACCACCTGTGGGACTCTGCACTGGCACATACAAGGGCTTGGGCAGGCCATGCTACAGCATGCAGTGCCTCGGGTTTGATTCCTTTCCTTTTAAAGGGAAGTGTATGAACTCATGTTCCTGCAGACCATGGGAACACGCTCTTGGGAAGACAAAAAAGGATCTGAGAGGCAAACACAGTCTTAAGAAAAGTCGGATAACTCAGCTAGGAACGCCAAGTTTGGTTTTGTAGTCTGTTCAGATTAGCAATATGATCTAGGCTTTGATTTAATTTCAGTTTACTTGATTCCTGTGGAGGAGGTGGACTTCAACCAACCATGGTT